ATTTAGTTCCTTACATCTATACATGGACTCCTTTTTTATTTATTTTTATTTTCTTTTAATTCTTTTGATAACCCTTCCATAAACTTTTTTCCTTCTATAAACTGCTTTTCTGTAAAGCTTTGAGACAACACTGGTTGTAAAAAGCACTATACAAATAAATGTTGGTGATGCTGTTGTTGCTGTTATCAGAATAATGTTAGTGTGATTTTTCAGCTGTTTGCCCTGTAATGCTGAGTATTAATATAGTCCACTGAAGTGCATTTAAAAAGTTTTAATGCTTTTAAAAAAGGACTGGAAAAAGTAGATCTCAGGCCACATAAGTATGGACACCCCTGATCTAGGAGTTATGCAGGGTGATTCAAAAAGATTCATCCAATTTCAAAGTGCCAGATTTTTACAACTGTGAGGCTTCTAGGAACCAATCACAATCCAATTGAAAGGGTGGGGTCATAGAGTTTCTGATGGTCAGTGGAAGATGGCTCCCTTCAGTCTGAGAGGAGATGGAGACCCCTTAGCAGAAAGCACTCTACGTTCTCCACTTCAATAAGAGTGAATCCGTCATAACTGTGCAGCGTGATTTTCGTGGGCAGTGAACCTCCAACAGCTCAGAGCGTTCGTCGTTGGTTCCACAACACTGGATGATCTCCGAAATTGCACTGAAAGAGCCGTGAGTGCAGCGACACCCGACATGCTCAATCCAGTATGGGGTGAATTTGACTATGGTGTTGGTGTTGTCTGTACAGCTGGAGGAGGTTCATACTGAGACCTTGTACAATTACATAATAAACTTTATGCTCATTTAAACCATTTACATTACAATTCTGCATTGATCTGTAATGATTTACAAGTAAAATAAATCATTTTGAAATTGGATGAATCTTTTTGAATCACCCTGTACATATAACCACAATCCAACACCATTAAGATCAAAGTTACACTTTTAAACAGCATTAATTCAGGCAGAGAGCAGGATATGACCAGCTCACACACTGCAGGACATATTTAGAACTGATTAGGTCATTTTTTCTAATGACTTGTGTATCAGCATGTTTTATTTAGGAACTGTAGTTGGGTTTCCTGTGGAATCCACCTTGTAACTTCACCCAACACCATCCCACCTCTTACTTACATATAAAACCACAAGCAGGATGATATTTTATCTCATTTACAGCTCTGCTCAGACTGATCATCATCTCCTGGAGCTGAAGCTGCAGTCATGATCGTCCATCCTCGTTCTCTCCTCCTGGGTCTGCTGGTCATCCTCTACCTTCAGTCCTGTGCAGAGGGACAACGTAAGTTGAAGTTCATGCTGAGTTTCTGGCTCTGTCATAGCACACAGTGTTATCTCTGTCTGTTGATTATGACTGAAACTATTACATGTTTAACTGGTGTTTAATTTGCTGTTCCTACATGATCAGATTATAAATATATGGCACATGTTTATTATGTAGTGTGTGGATAAACTAACAGACTAACACTGCAGCTTTATTCACAGTAGTAATAAGAAGAGTAAAGTTAGAGATGATCTCACCTGCTGTAGCATCATTACACTCACTAACACTGTCATCTACAGATCACTTCACTACATCACCTCTTCACTCTTTACTACATCCTTCTTCATTTTTATTATTTATGATATTATTTTCTCACACAGATGTAAAAACACCAGAGAAATGCTGTTTCAGTTTCTATACCAGACAAATCCCTGCATCTCTCATTACTAAGTATGAAGAAACGAAACCCAACTGTACAAGAGCTGGAGTGATGTAAGCTCTCACCCCCATCCTTTATTCCTTTATTAATATTGGAATAAGACGAACTATATTTAATATAGTTACTTTAAGCTGCTGTTCTCTGTTGATTCACTGCAAACTTTAACATTACAAACTTTCACAGACCTTTTTATTGTATCAGATACATTTTATATAATTATTTATTAGTTCTATTGAACTAAAACAGTGATGCTGATCTTTTCCTCACTGCAGTTTTACCACCAGGAGGGGGTATCATGTGTGTGTGGACCCCCGCTTTAAGTGGGTGAAGAAGATCATGGACGATATCGATCGTCAAATTGTGGAAGGTTCAATCTGAACTCAGCTGGGTGGTTAAATCTTCCCTCTATTAATGGGAAATCAACTCCTTTTAATACTCCAGCTCTTTATTACTACAGCAGTGTACTCGTCTCTGATTGGGCGAAAGAATTGAATGAATCAAATGTATTCAACATCTTTAATGACTTTTTCAGAGTACATTGTACATCAGAATGATTTCTTTCCTTTCACACTTTTAAATATACAGAAAACATTAACAGATCATTGTATTGACATCTGTAATCTGTGGCTGCACAAATGTAATAAGGTATATATAATGATTTAAATATTTTAAACTATACAGCAAGTTTTATCATTAGATATTTTTCAGTATTTTAAATATTTTCGGATCAACAGGAGTTTATTAAATGAAGTCATACACTGTAATTCTCTATTTAGATTAATATATATCAATTTATTTACCTTAAGATTTGAATATCATTTTTAAAGATGCAGCATTTATGATGTCCATTCTATTAGAATTTCATTCTTGATGTTCTACAGACTTTCAGTCACTTTAGAATCTACATTCATCATGTTCATCAATGTTCATCATTCTGGACACGTCTAACTTTTCTACATTTGCAGCTTCTATTTAATGATTTGGAGTCTGTAAAATGTAAAATTTAATATATTTTCTTAATTACTATGTGAAAGTTTTTGTCTTGTCGCTTTTTTCTGTGCTAAAGTAATAAAATGTTAAAAACATTGCACTTTTGACTCAAAGTAAATGTTTGTCCAGACTACACAAACCTGGCTGACACCCTTCAGTGCAAATAAGGTTAGTGTGATTTTTCAGTTGTTTGCTCTGTAATGATGAATATTAATATAGGCAACTAAAATGCATTAAACAAGTTTCAAAGGTTTTAAGGATGAAGACAGCGTTTTCTTTCCTTTTTTCAAAGGTAGATCATGATGACCTGTCCACTGGAAAAAGTAGATCTCAAAAGCGATCTCACCAAAGTTTTGGCACCCCTGATCTAGGAGTTATACTACAATCCAGCGCCACTAAGATCAAAGTTACACTTTTAAACAGGTTCTGACCAGCTCACACACTGCAGGACATGTTTATAACTGATTAGATCTTTTCTAATGACTTAATGTGGACCAGTTTGTTTACTTTAGGGGAGAACTGCAGTTGGTTTTTTCTGTGGAATGCACCTTGTAACTTTGCCCAACACCATCCCACCTCTTACTTACACATAAAACCACAAGCAGGAGGATATTTTCTCATTTACAGCTCTGCTTAGACTGATCATCACCTCCTGGAGCTGAAACTGCAGCCATGATCGTCCGTCCTCGTTCTCTCCTCCTGGGTCTGCTGGTCATCCTCTACCTTCAGTCCTGTGCAGTGGGACAGAGTAAGTTGAAGCTGATGCTCGAGTTTCTGGCTCTGTCATAGCACACAGTGTTATCTCTGTCTGTTTTTTAGAACTGAAACTATTACATGTTTAACTGGTGTTTACTTTGCTGTTCATGATCAGATTATAAATATATGGCACATGTTTATTATGTAGTGTGTGGATGAACTAACAGACTGTAACACTGCAGCTTTATTCACAGCATTAACAAGAAGAGTAAAGTTAGAGATGATCTCACCTGCTGTAGCATCATTACACTCACTAACACTGTCATCTACAGCTCACTTCACTACATCACTACACTTTACTACATCCTTCATTTTATTATTCTTCATATTATTTTCTCACACAGATGGAAAAGCACCAAAGGAATGCTGTTTCAGTTTCTATCCCAGACCAATCCCTGTAGCTTTCATTAGGGAGTACGAAGAATCTGACCCCAACTGTCCAAAAGTTGGAGTGGTGTAAGTTTTCAGCCCCGTCCTTTATTAATATTAGAATAAGACAAACTGTATTTAATATAGTTACTTTAAGCCTCTTTTCTCTATTGACCCACTGCAAACTTTAACATTACAAACTTTTACTGTCCTTTTTATTGTATCAAAGACATCTTTATATGATTATCTATCAGCTCTATTAAACGAAAACACTGATGCTGATCTTTTCTTCACTGCAGTTTTACCACCAGGAGGGGGTATCGTGTGTGTGTGGACCCCAGCTTTAATTGGGTGAAGGAGATCATGGACGATATTGATCGCCAAATTGTGGAAGGTTCAACCTGAACTCGGCTAAGTTAAATCTTCCCTCTATTTAAGGGATAATCAACTCCTTTTAATATTCCAGCTCTTTATTACTACAGCAGTGTACTCTTCTCTGGTTTGGCTGTTCTGTTTTTTATTAAGTTACCTTTGAACATTAAGTACAGACTGGAGGAATGTGGAATATATCAGAATATAATAAGCAAATTGAATGTAATGAGTGTCTTTAATGTCTATTTAAAGTATATTTTACATCAGAATGATTTCCTTTCACACTTTAAATATACACAGAGCATTTACAGATATTTGTACTGAAGTCTGTAATCGGTGCCTGCACAAATGTAATAAGATTCTGTACATATTCATTTTGTAAGAATTTGATTCTTGATGTTCTACAGACTTCTCAGTCACTTTAGAATCTACATTCATCATGTTCATGGATGTTCATTATTCTGGACACGTCTAACATTTCTACATTTGCAGCTTCTATTTAATGATTTGGAGTCTGTAAAATGTAAATGTAATCGATTTTCTTAATTATTATGTGAAAGTCTTGTCACTTTTTTCTGTAAAAAAGTAATAAAATGTTAAAAACATTGCACTTTTGCTTTGTGTTTTCACACAGTAGCTTAAAATCATATTTCAAATTTAAATGCTTTGTACATCTACAATATGAACATTTCAAATCAAAATTTCTGCTGTTCCCAATTCTGCTATCAATCACACGAAGATTGAGTGTCAATATTTTAACATTTCTCAGGTGGTTACCATGAAAATAAGAAGTGATATTGGAACAAAAGCTGCAATGACAGAACTACTTCATCATTACATTTTTACATCATGATCTGAGATCAGTGTTAATTAGCATCATCACTGAACACAGCACTATTTGGGAATTTTACTTCTGAAAAAGCCAGTTTATTATGTTTACTCAATAGTACTACATGGTAGCTACTCAGCTGGGTTAGCAGGTCTAAAGCTAGCAGTTTATTTGGATGGTGCACTTTAGACTGTTTGTACTTAGTTAACTTACTTTTAACTTAATAAACATCTGTTAAATTCACCTGAATTTCCCCTGGATCTAAATCTGGCCCTAACGGTCACTCTAACCTTAAACCCAAACTTAAAACTAACCCTGATTTTCACCACATTGTTAACAATTTGAACATCTGTAGATAATCTACTGTGGGCTTTTGTGTCAACAACACAAGCAAAGTAAGCTAGGTATCGATAGCGAACTGAACTGTTTCTCTTGTCAGAGCTAATATTAAAAACAAACGCATTGTGTTCTCCACATGCACTGCTTACGTCTACATGCTTGACTTGAGTTTTCTGGGGGACTTTTCAGCTAATTTACATTACTTCAATGAGCTAATGACAGACTGTCGGACAATGTTGACTACATTCTCTCCCCCTCTTGTGAGCTCCGCCTCCATGGGGTCATTGGACTATTTTAGAAATTTTGCACTCATTTGGAACCCACCCTAATAAATCTACACTCCCACCAATATTAAGCCCAAAATTTCTCATGGTTCTCCCCAGACATTCTCATTATGAGATCACATTAGGCCCCAAGAGATCAGTGATGGAAATTAAACTCCTTATTTAAACATCTTTCATTCATTAACAGAATTATTGAATATTGGTCTAATTTGGGTTAAATTTAATTTTTCCACTGATAAACATGCTTGACTCACAAGTGGTTAATTCTGCTCTAAGCTCGACTGGGCTTATATGTGTCCAGTCCGGTTTAACACAGGACAAGGTAATTAACACCACTGAGGTTACTGAGAATTTCCTCTCTGAGCTACATTTGTTTGTGGTTTGATAACTGGATGTATTTCACTCTCAGCCACACATCCTTCTAATAGCATTTCAAGATGGTCCAGATCATTCTAGATTGAAAACAGCTCCTCACCCGGGCTTTAAAGACCATCTATAGCTCAATGTATTTATTATTTTATTGAAATTGGTGTTTTATTTGCAGGCACATTGTTAAGAAATCACATGAAACCATGCCAGGTCAAGTCAAGTCAAGTCAAGAGGCTTTTATTGTCATTCCATCTATGTACAAGTACACAGTGGAGTGAAATTACGTTCCTCCAGGAACAACACGGTGCAACAAGGAACAAAGTACAAAGTGCAAACGTGCAGACATAAGTGTGCAAACAAAAAAATTAAGCTAGAAACAATACAATAAATACGATAAATTAAACAGACATTAGACACAGTAAACAGACAGGACAGTGTAGCACCGGCACAGCACTCATAGTAGTGGAATAAGGTGCAGAGGTATTTAACATGCTGTGATCTGCGAGTTTGCACAGTCAGATAACATACATAAACACAGCAGTTACTGAAGTAGTAAAACAGTGTAAACACAGTATTAGCAGCAATGTTCCAGATAGTGCAAGTAGAGCATCAAAAGAGGGGTGTTGGTGGGGGGCGGGGTTAGTTCAGCCCTTGTGAATTTAAAAACCTGATTGCTTGAGGGACAAAGCTGTTGCAGAGTGTGGATGAACTAACAGACTGTAACGCTGCAGCTTTATTCACAGTATTAACAAGAAGAGTAGAGTTAGAGATGATCTCACCTGCTGTAGCATCATTACACTCACTAACACTGTCATCTACAGCTCACTTCACTACATCACCTCTTCACTCTTCACTACATCCTTCTCCATTTTATTATTCCTCTTATTATTTTCTCACACAGATGAAGATGCACCAGAGAAATGCTGTTTCAGTTTCTATACCAGACCAATCCCTGTAGCTGTTATTAGTAAGTACGAAGAAACGAGCAACAACTGTCCAAGAGCTGGAGTGGTGTAAGTTCTCAACCCCGTCCCTTATTCATTTATTAATATTGGAATAAGACGAACTATATTTAAAATAACTGTTTTAAGCTGCTGTTCTTTGTTGACTATTGTTCTTGTCACTTTGATCTACTGCTTTAAACTTTAACATTACAAACTTTTACTGACCTTTTTATGGTATCAGATACATTTTGTATGATTATCTATCAGCTCTATTAGCCTAAAACACTGACAGTGATCTTTTCTTCACTGCAGTTTTACCACCAGGAGGGGGTATCGTGTGTGTACGGACCCCAGCTTTAAGTGGGTGAAGGAGACCATGGACAAAATTGATGGCCCAAATGTGGAAGGTTCAGCCTGAACTCAGCCAGGTGATTAAATCTTCCCTCTATTAATGGAAAATTAACTCCTTTTAATATTCCAGCTCTTTATTACTATAGCAGTGTACTCGTCTCTGATTGGGTGAAGGAAAAAAGCTTTTCTGATTTTTATTACGTTACCTTTGAACATTAAGTACAGACTGGAGGAATGTGGAATATATCAGAATATAATACATGAATCGAATGTAATGAATGTCTTTAATGTCTTTTTAATGTAATAATGAATATATAATGATTTAAATATTATAAACTCTACACCAACTTTTATCTTGAGATATTTTTCAATATTTTAAGTATTTTGGGATCAACAAGAGTTTATTAAACGAAGTCATATACTGTAATTCTCCGTTTACACTTATATACCGCTGCTTTCGTAACAAAACCTTTTATCTTTATTTTTGATGCTTTTCAGTTTTTGACATAATTTGAAAATGCTTGCAGTTGTTAAAATTGTGTATAAACTTCATGAAGAATGGACCAAAAGAAACAGCCCAAAATGTTCTGGTTCCTTTAACATACATTAAAAGTAAAGTGTGTTTTTTCCTTTCCTTACCATTTTGGACATATAAGGTTTTGCTCGGACAACAGCGATATATCAAGTTATGTGCCTTAAGATTTGAATATCATTTTTAAAGATGCAGCATTTGTGATGTTCATTTTATAAGAATTTCATTCTTAATGTTCTACAACATCTTTCTACTTTAGAATCTACATCTCTGTTCATCATTCTGGACCCATCTAACATTTCTTCATTTTAATTTTGCAGCTTCTATTTAATGATTTGGAGTCTGTAAAATTGTATATAATGTTTTCTTAACTCTTATGTGAGTGAGAGTTTCTGTCTTGTCACCTTTTTTCTGTAATAAAGGAATAAAAACGTTAAATATGTTTTTGCTTTGTGTTTTCACACAGAATCTTAATCATATTCCAAATTGAAATGCTTTGTATATCTACAATATGTACATTTTAAAACAATTTCTGCTGTTCTGAATTCTGTTAATAGTTACACTATGGTCTCAGGTGGTTACCATGGAAATAAGAAGTGATATTGGAACAAAAGCTACAGTGACAGAACTGTACTTCACTGTATTTATACATCATGATCTGAGATCAGTGTGATTGAGCATCATCACTAAACGCAGCACTATTTGAGAAAAGCCAGTTTATTATATTTACTCAATAGTACTACATGGTAGCTGTTCAGCTGGGTTAGCAGGTCTAAAGCTAGCAGTTTATTTGGATGGTGCACTTTAGACTGTTTATACTTAGTTAACTTACTTTTAACTTAATAAACATCTGTTAAATTCACCTGAATTTCCCCTGGATCTAAACCTGGCCCTAACGGTCACTCTAACCTTAAACCCAAACTTAAAACCCTGATTTTCACCACATTGTTAACAATTTGAACATCTGTAGATAATCTACTCTGGGCTTTTGTGTCAACAACACAAGCAAAGTAAGCTAGGTATCGATAGCGAACTGAACTATTTCTCTTGTCAGAGCTAATATTAAAAACAAACGCATTGTGTTCTCCACATGCACTGCTTACGTTTACATGCTTGACTTGAGTTTTCTGGGGGACTTTTCAGCTAATTTACATTACTTCAATGAGCTAATGACAGACTGTCGGACAATGTTGACTACATTCTCTCCCCCTCTTGTGAGCTCCGCCTCCATGGGGTCATTGGACTATTTTAGAAATTTTGCACTCATTTGGAACCCACCCTAATAAATCTACATTCCCACCAATATTTTGCTCGAAATTTCTCATGGTTCTCCCCAGACGTTCTCATTATGAGATCAGTGATGGAAATGAAACTCTTCATTTAAACATCTTTCATTTATTAACAGAATTATTGAATATTGATTAATTCTGCTCTAAGCTCGACTGGGCTTACATGTGTCCAGTCCGGTTTAACACAGGACAAGGTAATTAACACCACTGAAGTTACTGAGAATTTCCTCTCTGAGCTACATTTGTTTGTGGTTTGATAAGTCTGTATTTTAGTCTCAGCCACACATCCTTCTTAAGCATATCATGATGCTTGAGTTCATTCTAGATTGAAAACAGCTCCTCAATGGGGCTTTAAAGGCCATTTATAGCTCAATTTATTTATTATTTTATTGAAATTGGTGTTTTATTTGCAGGCACAGTGTTAAGAAATCCTTGAGGAGGTCTATGACTGGAAGGCTAAGGGAAACCAGCAGTGGGGGGGCATCTACAGCCGCCGGTCTCCTGATGAAGGTAAACAAGAAACCATGCCAGGTCAACAAAGTAGCACACTTTTAGATAACAGCACTAGAGGCAGCAAAGAGCAGCAATGCAGCACTCACCCTTGGTAATCCAGCCCCACGAGATCAGTGATGGGAATGAAACTCTTCACTTGAGCCTCCTTAATTCATTTGAATTATAACAGAATTATTGAATATTGATCAGATTTGGGTTACATTGAATTTTGCTCAACTCACAAGTGGTGAATTCTAGGCTTATATGTGTCCCAGTCCTGTTTAACACGTCCTTCTGACAGCATATCATGATGCTCGAGTTCATTGTAGATCTAGTGATCTAGAAGGTTTTTATTTATCGGTAGCCGGTTCATGTAGTGCCATTTTTGCGGTTTCAAGACCAGTTCAAGACCTGGCCAAAGGAACAAAAAAATTTTTTTACAATGTCAAACTTTAAATGCATCTGTCTGATTTGCCAAGTAGCCATCGCACTTCCAAAGAAGGGGAACATCGGGAGGCACTTTATGAACTATACACAGAAACTACAATGATTTCCAGCTGAAAGTGGGCTCAGGAAGAAAACATTTGTCCAGACTACACAAACCTGGCTGACACCCTTCAGGGCAAATCAACAGAATAAGGTTAGTGTGATTTTTCAGCCGTTTGCCCTGCAATGTTTAATATTAATATAGGCCAATGAAGTGCATTAAAAAGTTTAAAAGGTTTTAAAAAGGATGTGGACACCCTTTTCTTTCCTTTTTTTAAACGTAGATCATGATGACCTGTCCACTGGAAAAAAAGTAGACCTCGAAAACAATCTCACAAAAGTATAGGCACCCCTGATCTAAGATTAATACAATTAACCACAATCCAACACCACTAAGTTACACTTTTAAACAGCATTAATTCAGGCAGAGAGCAGGTTACGACCACCTCACACACTGCAGGACATATTTAGAACTGATTAGATCTTTTCTAATGACTAATGTGTACCAGTATGTTTTATTTAGGTAAGAACTGCAGGTGGGTTTCCTGTGGAATCCACCTTATAACTTCACCCAACACCATCCCACCTCTTACTTACCTATAAAAGCACAAGCAGGATGATATTTTATCTCATTTACAGCTCTGCTCAGACTGATCATCACCTCCTGGAGCTGAAGCTGCAGTCATGATCGTCCGTCCTCGTTCTCTCCTCCTGGGTCTGCTGGTCATCCTCTACCTTCAGTCCTGTGCAGTGGGACAGAGTAAGTTGAAGTTCATGCTTGAGTTTCTGTCTCTTTCATAGCACACAGTGTTATCTCTGTCTGTTTATTAGAACTGAAACTATTACATGTTTAACTGGTGTTTAATTTGCTGTTCCTACATGATCAGATTATAAATATATGGCACATGTTTATTATGTAGTGTGTGGATGAACTAACAGACTGTAACACTGCAGCTTTATTCACAGTATTAACAAGAAGAGTAAAGTTAGAGATGATCTCACCTGCTGTAGCATCATTACACTCACTAACACTGTCATCTACAGCTCACTTCACTACATCACCTCTTCACTCTTTACTACATCCTTCTTCATTTTATTATTTATGATATTATTTTCTCACACAGATGCAAATGCACCAAAGGAATGCTGTTTCAGTTTCTATCCCAGACCAATCCATGTATCTCGTATTACTATGTATGAAGAATCCGACCCCAAGTGTCCAAGAGCTGGAGTGTTGTAAGTTTTCACCCCCGTCCTTTATTAATATTGGAATAAGACAAACTATATTTAATATTATTACTTTAAGCTGCTGTTCTCTGTTGACTCTTACTGTCATCACTTTGACCCACTGCAAACAGTGATGCTGATCTTTATTCACTTTTCAGTTTTACCATCAAGAGGGGGGATCGTGTGTGTGTGGACCCCAGCTTGAATTGGGTGAAGCGAGCCATGAACATGATCGATCGTCGAACTGTAGAAGGGTCAAACTGAACTCAGCTGAGTGATTAAATCTTCCTTCTATTAATGGGAAATCAACTCCTTTTAATACTCCAGCTCTTTATTACTATAGCAGTGTACTCGTCTCTGATTGGGTGAAGGAATAAAGCTTTTCTGTTTTTTATTAAGTTACCTTTGAACATTAAGTACAGACTGGAGGAATGTGGAATATATCAGAATATAATACATGAATCGAATGTAATGAACGTCTTTAATGTCTTTTTAAAGTACATTTTACATCAGAATGATTTCACACTTTTAAATATACAAAGAACATTTACAGATAACTGTATTGAGGTCTCTAATCTGTGGCTGCACAAATGTAATAAGGTATATATAATGATTTAAATATTATAAACTTTACACCAAGTTTTGTTTTTAGAAATTTTTCAATATTTCAAGTATTTTGGGATCAAAAGAGTTTATGAAATGAAGTCATATACTGTAATTCTCTGTTTAGACTAATATATATCAAGTTATGTGCCTTAAGATTTGAAGATCATTTTTAAAGATGCAGCATTTGTGATGTTCATTTTATTAGAATTTCATTCTTGATGTTCTACAGACTTTCAGTCACTTTAGAATCTACATTCATCATGTTCATCAATGTTCATCATTCTGGACACGTCTAACTTTTCTACATTTGCAGCTTCTATTTAATGATTTGGAGTCTGTAAAATGTAAAATGTAACCAATTTTATTAATTATTGTGTGAAAGTTTCTGTCTTATCACTTCTTTCTGTAATAAAGGAATAAAAATGTTAAATTTGTTGCACTTTTGCTTTTTGTTTTCACACAGTAGCTTAAAAATCATATTTCAAATTTAAATGCTTTGTATATCTACAATATTTGCATGTTAAAACATTATTTCTGCTGTTCCCAATTCTGTTAATGGTTACACAATGGTGTAACTATTAACTGTTTATTCTGTTAAGAGACCAGTGTCAATATTTTAATTTTCTCAGGTGGTTACCA